ATTCCGAGGTTTCGGATACCCTAACTTCGCGCACAATATGTGCTCCCTTTACATCTTCCCCGATGATTATAGAAACACGCTTAAGTTCGACTTCAGGCATAGTTATATCAGCCAAATGCTCATATCCTTGACAGTCTATCTCATTTGGGAGAATTCTTTCATTCATATCAAGCTCCTTCACTAGTCCTTCGCTCACTTCCAATATTGGGTCAGAATCTGCGGCTTCTGCAGCCTGATTCAAATTCGCATTCCTGTGTTCCAAGCACTGTTGTAACGGCGATTGACTGTTTAGTTCCTTTCACGTTCAGTTTCTCTGCCAATTTCGCATCAACAATAGTTCCACGGCTGGCATTGTCAAGTAGTCCATATGTCGTGACCGAGTTTCCATCCTTCGTTAACACTTTAACAGGTACAACGTGTAAAAGTACGTGATTTTCCTTTCCTTGCGTCATTGTCGTATAAGATGCCATCGAATCTTGTTGACTGTCCTTTCCAAATTTGGATTTGGGTGATTCAGATCCAGCTGTTTCTGGTTTCTCTTTGTCTTTCTCTGGTTGTCTTTGAGTGGTATTGGAGGATTCACGATCATTAGACTGGAATTTAGAGTTATCCTTTGGTGGCGAAATTCTTCGATGAAGGAGTGGGTGATGCTTGTAGGTAGCTTTACATTTACAAATGGTGGTTGATATACACTGGGCCTTCATGTGTCCCGACGCAAGGCATAAATGGCAAAGCTTTAAATTCTTTACGATTTCCCATCGCTCTTCAGATGTTTTCTTAACAAAGGAGTCACAGTTTGTGAGTGAATGTTTACCCTTGCAACACGGACAAAGGCCGGAGTTTTCGAGGTTTGTTGTCAACGTCGAGATCTGATTCTGAAGTGGTGGTTTAGGTGATGGTTTCGGTAGCCTGTTCTTGGGGTCAATTGGTTTCCTCTTTGTAGTCAAAATGTGTCCATATTGGGGATCGTTCATGATTCTGAGTTGTTTTTCTACTAGCTCTAGAACATGCTGTAATGTGGGGTTCAATTTGGTTTCATCACGAATTTTCGGAAGTTTCTTTACCCACTCTATCTGCATGTGCATTGGCAAACGATCAACAACTCTTTCAACATTAGATGATGCATTAATTTCGTGTTTGTAATTCTCATTGTCCTTTAAGACTTCTAAACAGGAACGTGAATTATTTCTGAGCTTAGCGAGAGAGTTGTTGTCTCCCCTTTCAATGCGAGGACCCACCGTGACTCGTTTAAGGGATGCCTTGACTACGCTAGAAGGATGACCATACTGAGACTCTAATATTTTCATGGCTTGACTAAAACCGTTTGATTTCAGTTCACAATGTTCAATTGCGTCTCTAGCATCACCTTCTACGAAACTGAGAAGACGAGTTATTTTTTCTCTTTCATCAAACTCTCTTTCGTTTAACCAAACCTCCACCCGCTTCTTAAAAACAGGAAACTGAGCAGGGTCACCTCTAAATTTCATTGGCTGGGGTTTCGGAATCCCTTGCCGCTGTAACATGGCTTTCATAACAGTGGTTGTTTCGGTTCCCTGCTTCATGGCACTAACCAATTGCTGATTCATTTTGAGTAATGTAGTTGTTAAATCAGGTTTAGTTTTGTCAACGCTTGGTTTAAACTCGGGTGAAGATGGCTCCGTGTCATTGCATTTCTCAGAAAGGGACGCAATCCCTTGCTTGCTATCGACCACTGACTCGGGTGGCGATTTGACTAACTCAGGCCGAGTTGAGGGGTGAACTGTCTTGTAGAAAGCTCTGTCCTGTGGTGTCGAATTTTTTACTTCTACCTTCATATTAACCCTGTTACCAGCTACAACCTTTGATAAACTACGCATGCTTCCGCAGTCACTATATCTTTCGTCTGCCTGATCGGCTGCCAAAAGTTCGGCTTCTAACTGAGAATACTCTGCTTGGTCCCGCAAATCTTGTAACTCACGTTCTATCTGTTCTTGCATTTGTTTTTCCTTTGCTTTTGCTCTTCTCTCTGCCTGCTCTAGTTTCAACCTTGCTAATTCTGCTGAACGAGCCGCCGTCTTCACCCTAGACGACACAGAGGACCCCCCTGAACGTCTACTCTTTGACGACCTTGACATGGAAACACTACTTTGTACTGACACAGAAAGTTTATCATCATCCTTAAGGTGAAGACCATTCTCAAACTTTGAGTCTCTCTGTAAACTGCGAATGCTCTTGTTAAGTTGACCAATAGCTAGTTGATTACATTCATTTATTTTTCGTTCGAGACTTTGACGTTGGATGCTAAGACGCTCCAAGTCACGCGTGTTATTAATCAGCTGAGAATAATCTTCATGCACTTTGAGGTACTTAACCCACTTTGAATGTATAGTGTCCAAAGTTTTTTCAATTTCTGTAGTCTCAATATTACTATAATCATAAGTTTTTAAAGACTCTGTAGATACTTCAATAATTTGCGAAAGTTTTAATAATTCATGCTTTAGTCCTTTGGAATGTATTTCATTTAAATATTCTGCGTACTCACGCGACACCTTCCGGGTCCGAGATGTCCTTCGTAAACCGTTGTCACTTCCGGCTTATTGACTTCGTCGATCGCGAAGTTCGTCGAACTGTTTTGCACAGATTTCATCCATAAAAGATCAAACTATGTTGGGAACGAACCCAACCGAATGTCGTTTATATATCAAATAATAATCACCACGTCATTACACTTTATTTACTCTCAAATTTAGTCTATTCTAAGCAGTACATCATGACAAATATCTCGTACATATCAAATATCCATGCATCATTCTGTCCTCGATTCTGTCCGTATTTCGACTAATATCGGTCGTAAACAAAGGTTTGCTACATAGAATTACAAATAACGTTCATTAACAACAAGTTCAAGTGTTTCAAAGTCAAAATGAAAGAAATACTTACATCTTATGGCGATTTTAAAGCAGATACGTTTGTATATCTATCACGAATATCAATAGTTTTCCAAAAAGCCTCGCTCGCGAAGACTGGCCCTAAATTAATTATGCTAATGTCAACAAACGGCGCGAAATAATTAGATTAATTATAGTAGCGTCCGTAACAGGTATACTATGTAATTCCCGATGTAATTTGGATTTAGTTAGGTCTTGCATATTAAATACAAAAAATAGTGCATTTGGCCATGGGCATGGGTGCATTGCTGCTTAATGGATTAGTTGGGAGAAATATGGTAAATTCGAGAAAAGTGTCTGCTCCGCCTCAAAGGCAGAAAAAAATCTTTGTAGCCCGCTTCCATGCAGCTCCAAAAAATATGCCCGTCCTCTTTTTGCTCCTGCCCCGTATAAAAATAAATTTTGCATGGTCCCTAACTATAGTACAGGTTGCACAGCTATACTGACTATGGAGTTACCGTAAAATAAGACAAATAAAACAAAGCTAAATAGGTTAAAATGGGTATACTCACACCGAATCTGAAAAGAAAATTCCAACGAACAAGAGGAAGATATACTTTGCTGTGTTCATCTTGAGAGTCAGTTTAGAACTTCCCTCGATTCAATCCTGTCTTATCATTTTATACAATCGGAGATGAGAATACTCCACATTTTATGTCAACACAGGAAACACAGGTTTATATTTCAAGTCTACGTACGTGACAGTGCGTAAGTATGGTGTCATACATATCACCGCCAATGTTCATGTATATCATGCTTTCGACATTGAAGTAAAATAAGACATTCAACACCTACGTGCTTTCGACATTGAGGATAAATCTGATATTGAACATGCAGAACATTCAACATATTTTCGACATTGAAGTAAAATAAGACATTCAGCACCTACGTGCTTTCGACATTGAGGATAAATCTGATATTGAACATGCAGAACATTCAACATATTTTCGACATTGAAGTAAAATAAGACATTCAGCACCTACGTGCTTTCGACATTGAAGATAAATCTGACATTGAACATGCAGAACATTCAACATATTTTCGACATTGAAGTAAAATAGGACATTCAACACCTACGTGCTTTCGACATTGAAGATAAATCTGACATTGAACATGCAGAACATTCACTACATATTTTCGACATTGAAGGTAAATAGGACATTCAACACCTACGTGCTTTCGACATTGAAGATAAATCTGACATTAAACGTGCAGAACATTGAACATATTTTCGACATTGAAGTCAAATAGGACATTCAACACCTACGTGCTTTCGACATTAAAGATAAATCTGACATTGAACATGCAGAACATTCAACATATTTTCGACATTGAAGTTAATTAGGACATTCAACACCTACGTGCTTTCGACATTGAAGATAAATCTGATATTGAACATAAAATAGGATAAAACTTTATTTGACTACGCTGGCCACTTCAACCGGAGCTGCTTTCCAAGTGGGGCGTAGATAAATTATGTTACAAAAATATATAAAATACAAAATCACTAATATTGTAATAATATTAAGATTTAAGAACTACGAATACAAAATACATATTACAAAACAAATGGTACAGTAGTCAAATAGCTAATTCGTTTAGAAGAATTTAAAGATTCGCTGTTTCTTACTTGTTCAGGGATGCTATTCCAGATTTTAACCCCACTATATCGAAAATATTTTCTGCCATACTCGGTATTTGGTCGTGGCAGAACGAGAAACGAATTTGAACCTCGTAAATTATAACTGTGGATATGGAACATTGATGAATCTGGAACATTGATGAGAACCTCGATGGTGTCAAATTATTGACAACCTTAAACATGAGCCGGGCCATAATATTTTTTCGCCTTTCTTCCAAGTTTATCCACCCTAATTGATCAACGGCAAGTTGAGATTGCCCAGGCTCATCTTTAAAGTTCATTAAAATTCTAGCACATCTGTTGTGAAGTTTTTGTAGTCGTTCAGACTGGCCTCTATTAATGGAATTCCAAACTTCACAACAGTAGTCGAAATGGGGTTGGACAAGACCATAATAGACTGACTTCAAAGTATCAGAATTAGTGAAATCCTTTATCTTTTTCATGGCACTTATTCCAGAAGATATTTTTTTCGAAATTTGGTCAATATGACTGTCCCAAGTTAAAAATTGATCAATTTTGACTCCAAGAGCTTTTGTAACTTGAACCCCTTTAATTGGTTCATCTCCAATAAAAACACGCGGTTGTTCTTCTAACGTGTTAATATTGTGGCGTGATCCAATCAAAAAATATTCCGTTTTGACAAGGTTAAGAGAGAGCTTGTTCGATAGAAGCCATTCTCTGATATTATTGAGATCAGCATTAACGGCCACCTCAGCTTCCTTAATTGATTTACCGGACACTGTGATGTTAATATCATCGGCGAACATACGTGCTGTAGAGTGTTGTAAGCAGTTCGGTAAATCATTGATATAAATTAAAAACAGAAGTGGACCCAAAATTGAACCCTGATGAACTCCATATTTTAGATATTTTAACGTGGAAAGTTCCCCCATTTACTTGACATTGCTGTCTTGCTGAGATCGAACTGATAAGTAAGATTTAAGAAGCATAAGAGGCGTATCCTTAATACCATATATATAACTTTAGTTTAGCCAGTAAAATGTCGTGGTTTACCGTGTCAAATGCTTTTTTTAAATCGAGAAAAACGGCAAAATTATATAAACCACGATCCATATTAACATACCACTCATCAGTACAATCTAGCAATGCAGTGGACGTGGAATGAAAGCGCCTGAACCCAAACTGCTGTTCAGACAATAAATTATTGGTGGTAAAATATTCGTATAACTGCTCATACAAGATCTTTTCAAATATTTTGCTAATAACCGGCAAAATTGATATTGGCCTATAATTGTCTAAAACGGAACGTGAACCCTTCTTATGAAGGGTACAACTCTAGCAATTTTCCATTCAGACGGGAAAATTCCCAACCCAATGGAGGAGTTGAACATGCAGATTGGTCAAAGATGGTGTAATTACAGAAGCAGAATATTTTAGAATTTTAGCCGGTATTTTATCACATCCAGTAGATTTAGAAATAGACAAATTGTAAAGTAGCCTAAAAATCTTTGATTCGTTAACAGAATGCAAAGTAAATTCCAAATTATTTAGATTATCACTCATATATGCCTGCCAAAATTTAAATTCTGAGTGTGTTCAGAGCAGGAGTCTCCAATTTTACCATCAATACTTGTAACGAATAGTCATTAAGACAATTAGCCATTCTCACAGGAGAAGTAATTGTATCATTTCCTAGCTTTAGGTTGTTAATCGTTGTGTCCTTCTTTTTTCTCCCAAGGATATCATTAATCATCCTCCAAGTCTGTTTAGGATTATTTTGATGTTTGTCAAATTTGCTTTTGTAGTAAACTTTCTTAGCTTCACGCATTGCAATGTTGACACTATTCCTATAATGTTTATACTGGCTCCAGTCTTCACTTAAATCCGACGAAATTGCTTTTCTTTTCAAACGGTCCCTTTCAAACATTTTGTTTCTGATATTCCTAGTAATCCACGCCACAGATATTTTATTTCTTACCCGTCTTTCCCTAACAGGGGCATGTTTATCAAGAACACTCATAAAAAGATTTTTCCAACATGCTCATTTATTATCAATATCAGTTTCTTTGTCAAATAAAAACCACGGTAAGTTTATAAAGTCGACTTTGAAATTCTCAACATTGAAATGCTTGAAGCTTCGAAATTCGACTTTTTTGCTAGAGTGAGGTTTGAGATATGAATTAATTTTTCTTACTACATAAACTAAACTACGATCACTCACTCCCTTACATCATGAAATGCAATTCGCTCAAGACAGGAGGTAATACAAACGTCTATAGTAACGTAGAAGACGATTCAGTAATCCTTGTAGGAGACGATTCAGTAAATCCTTGTAGCTAGGAGACGATTCAGTAATCCTTGTAGGAAACATGCTGAACATTCAACATATTTTCGATATTGAAGTAAAATAAGACATTCAACACCTACGTGCTTTCGACATTGAAGATAAATCTGATATTGAACATGCAGAACATTCAACATATTTTCGACATTGAAGTAAAATAAGTCATTCGATATCAGCACCTACGTGCTTCCGACATTGAAGATAAATCTGACATTGAACATGCAGAACATTCAACATATTTTCGACATTAAAGTTAAATAGGACATTCAACATCTACGTGCAGCTTTCGACATTGAAGATAAATCTGACATTGAACACCCATGTATTTTGACATTGAAGTTAAACTGGACATTGGACATGCCGCGAATTTAGCATCCATCGCAACTTCAATGTTCAAAATATGTTGAAAAAAAATCACCACATGTTAAATATTGGCGGAGTTGAACGATAGCGTCAAATCTCCGCCAATATTAATTAAGCTAACACAAGACAACCCCCCGGTTTCCCCCGGCGAAATTCATTCGTGTCCAGATCTCCAATGCCGTCTAGTCATTGAACAACCAATATGGCGTCAGCTGGATCATCGGAAGGGAATCGGGACCAATCGAAACTGCTGATTTAGTTACTGCCTTAAAGATGATCAGTCCGTGCGGCACATCAGTTCTGCTCATAACAAAGGGGACCCCCAGATATAAACATTAAACATTGCCCAAATTTTGCATCTTTCGAACTTTTTGAATTGAAACGTACTGTTTATATTCATTTACAAGTATAGGCTGTATAGCGAACCAGAAAAGTATTAGATATTCAGTTAGTATATCATATTTGTTAGCTACACTACAGTTTCATTAGGTTAGCACTACAGTTTCATTAGGTTCATTGTTTAGCTACACTACAGATTCATTAGGTTAGCTTCAACACTAACCTGAGTATCAGGCCCTTGGTATTGAAAGAGGGCCTGACACAATTCGCCTCTAAAGCCATGTTCAACATCCAGAATCTGGATGTTATGCTGATTGGCTAAGAAACGATAAAACGCATCATGTGATTCAAACCGGAAATATATGACCGGCGTATGTAAACACCAAAAATAGAATTTGTAATTTTGTCAATATACTGTTAAAAGTGCTTCATTTCTGAAATTTATTTTCAATTAATTAAGCCTAAAAATGACAAAATAAGTACGAAAAGACGTTGAAAACGCTTTTGCAGCAACATTTTAATGGAAAAAATACAAACTTCAAACCCTACTTAATCATATTTGTGTCATTTTATTGCTCAAAAATACTTAAAAAGCGTGAAAATTTAGCAAATTCCATAAATTAACCCTTAGCAACGCCCATAGCAACCACATGTTTGCCTGTTTAAAAGCGTTGAAAAATTTGAATAATTTATATTTAGATAAGTTTTTACCCCTCCCTTTCAAGTATACTGCATTGAAGTATTCGCATGTTAACTTTGCTACCGCTGGCCAGGATTTTCATGATTTTTCAAATCAAAATTCGAAGCCATATTAAGTGGGTTAGCACTATTTTCCATCCAGCAAACTGACCTGACGTCATTTTCGCAGGTGTTAAATGGCTATGTAACTAACCCAAACCCTACCCCTACTCTAACCCCTAACCCTAACCTCAACCCTAACTCTAACCCTAACCGAATTAATGAAAAAATCCAAAAAGAAACGACTTTACAAAATCGATAGGGCGGTTTGCTGGATGGAAAAAAGTGCTAACCTATTAAGTGTCGAAGCAGTGAAATTTTTTAGTAACTTTTGGTCGCTGTGTTTGTGTTTTTTCGCCGAATTTACTTCTTTTTGTGGACTAATTGTCTTTGGAAAATGGTAAGAGAGGGATCGAGGAAGAGAAAGAGAAAATTTCATGGGAATCGGCACGTAAATGATGCAAAGAAACCTTGTATTGACAGTATTGAGCTACCATGTGTTTCTGGTGAGTCGGTTGCTAATGTCTCTGCTTCAGCGAGAAAAATAGGTCAGTCTTGTAGCTTTGATGCTACTAGTAGCAGTTCCAAAGATGAACAATCTAAAATAACTGGTTATCGTTTCGTCGATGTGGAAATACTTAGTGAACTTTTCCAGCAAATGCCATGCAAGTTATGTGGAGAATCCAGTCTCAGTCTTGAAGATGATCCTCGGGAAAGAAAAGGTTGTGCTTCTCATCTTCGGCTGCGTTGTGATAAATGTGGTTGGGTATATACCTTTTTTACATCAAAGAAAGTCAAACATTAAACTGAAAAAAAAGAAGGATGACAAAATAAAAGACCAAGAAGGAACCACCTATAAGGCAGGGTCATTTTAAAAAGTAACAATGTCATTTACTGCTTTATATTAGCTTCCATTGCAGAAATAACTTAAACCGTAAACTTTAAAGCTGTTTTTCTCAATTCGTAAAAATGGACCGATTGCTCAATTTGCATGCATGATATCTCAAAAACTATTAAAGGTATCCTGATCAAATTTTCAGAGTTGCTAGTAAATAGTATGCTCCAGGGAATGAACTAGAATAATTGAGTTCTGCTGGATTTTCAAGGAGTTATCACTGTTTCATTGATGAATGTTTCCACATTTTTGTGGTTTGGCAGGATAAATCGTGATAATAGTTGTTCTATATGCAGTAAGGCAATGATTCTAGTTCATTCCCTAGACACTATTGTAACTTACAAAATAAAAGTTATTTTAGACTTCTATCATTTATTCTCACCTAGTTATCATGTTTGAAAGTTGACCCTTTTTTTCCCTTTGGGCGTGGCATATATTGGTTACTATGGTAACAGTTCAGTAAAGAAGAGTGTTGTCTTGGTTGAGTGACCACCCTCAACAACACTGTGAAGTTAGATTTTTGTTTTGGATCATTTTTAGGAAAAAAAAATTTTTTGTATAAGACCACCTTATTAACAGCTAGGGAACCAAGCCTGTAAGGAACCAAGTCTGTAAGCTTTTGTGTGGTCACGGGTCAGACGTGTGATTTCGAGCTCTCTGTTCAATACATATATTATTTTATGTTGAATTCTGTACGGCATATATATGACTATATAATATTTCAGCACTGCTTTGAAGTTTAGGGCATAAGTAAACTAAATTAAAGTCCTATAAACAAAACTTTATCCAGTTCATATTTTAAAGACGATGGCTGACGAGAATAGGCCAAATACGAGAGGTCGAGTGGACAACCGAAAAGATCTTGACACATATTTTAAGTCTGAAGCGTTTGGCACGTTAATCAAGAAGTCGATTACAGAAGAATTCGAACGTTTTCTTAGCTCTGAGGGTTTCAAAGATATGTTGGTCTCAACGACAAAGTCAGTCGTGTCTGAAGTTGTAAGCGGCACAGTCGAAGCCATTATCGGGAATGAGGTTGACAAAGCAATTAAACCATTGCAAGTCAAAATAGAACATCTCGAAGCTCAACTTGCTACGATTAAGTCCCACGCAAATGATAACGAGCAGTATTCTAGGCGGTGTAATCTGAGATTTCACGGCATTCCTGAGCAGAAGGGGGAAAATTGTTTGCTTGTTCTCTCGAAGTTCTGTAAAGAAGAATTGAATTGTGATATCGCGCCACAAGATATTGATAGAGCTCACCGCGTTGGTCGGATAAGAAGTGATGGCTCGTCGCGAGCTATAATCGTAAAGTTTGTATCTTATCAATCTAAGTTCGCTGTTTTAAAACAAAGGCGAATTCTCAAAGGACGAAAACTGTTTATTAATGAAGACTTAACTATAGCAAACAAAGTCTTGTTTGATCGAGCCCGTAAAGATTTATCACATCTAGCAGTTTGGACAACCGATGGGAAAGTATTGGTAAAATTAGCTGACGATAAAATTATACAAATAAAGGCAAACGAGGACATTGAAAATCTGTGTTGAAAATCAGGACTTTGCCCTTTACTTTAAAGTCGTGCATTTTTTTTTTTTTTTTTGCATCAATAATTTACATGTTGTGTATCATTTTTCTTTCTTTATCATATCTAAATTATGATTGTTCTTGTGTGTATTCTCTTGTGCAGCCCGAGGTAAGTTTTTCTTATTTATATAAACTCCTAGTGTATAATGGGGGTTTTATTTGAAAATTATAGAGCGGCTACCGGGGTGTTTAACAATCGCAGCCGTGTGATACCGTTGAATATTTCGCCGTCGTGTTTGTGTTATATGTGCTTGCGTTTACTAGTTGCTGTAATTTTCTATTTGCTACTTGTACTAGCTGGAGATGTTGAAGTAAACCCCGGTCCTTTACGTAATTTAACGCTAAATATTGGCCATATTAATGCAAGAAGTTTAAATGTTGAAGATAAATTTGACGAGATTTCAACCCTTGTGCTTGATCAAAATCTTGATATTTTTGCCGTATCTGAAACCTGGCTAAATCATAGCATTGCCAGTGATTCTTTAAGTATTGACGGTTTTAGTCAAATATATCGATTGGATAGATGCGATGGCAGAAGGGCAGGTGGTGTTGCTCTTTACATCTCTTCTAGTTTCGCGTCAAAAAGACGTTTTGATTTAGAGCATGTCAATTTTGAACTACTTTTTGTGGAGATCGTAATTAATTCTATAACTTTTGTCTGTGGCGTGTGCTATCGACCACCAAACTATAACGCGGAAGACAACAATGCCTTTTTAGATAATTTGCAGTCCAGTTTAGACAATATATACCTGAAACCGGATACCTTTGTTTTACTCCTTGGGGATTTTAATGCTCATTACGATACTTCCAGTCCGTCATTAAGTAGTGCTTTTGGTACACGATTTTATAGTTGGATGGCATGCAATAACCTTTTTCAAGTGATAAATGAACCAACACGTATAACATCGGAGGGTGCTACACTATTGGACCTCATAATAACAAATTCGCCGGGATACTTCGTAAATACTGGTACTCTAAGCCCACCAAGCAACTGTGACCACCTATTAATCTATGCTCGAATGAATGTTTCTTTTGTTAAATTAAAATCCTATACCCGTCATGTTTGGGATTTGTCAAGAATGGATGAAAACGTTTTGCAAGAAGCGCTTTCAAATGTAAATTGGAATGATATATTCCTAAACAATGACGATATTGATAACTTATATGCTGATTGGTTTAAATGCTTTTATCAAGTACTTTTAAAGCATGTTCCACATAGAATAGTTACAATTCGTCCAAGGGATAAACCTTGGGTAAATTCTGAAATTAGGAGGGCAATTCGGAAAAGAAATAGATTGCTAAAATATTACTGTAGACATAAGAGTCCAGAAGCCTGGGAAATTTATAGAAGGCAAAGAAATTTTACTACAATACTTATACGCAAACGCAAGCTAATCTATTACGATACTCTTAATGCAAAATTACAGAACCCAAAAATAGGACCGAAAAAGTGGTGGAGCATAGTTAAGTCGTTATATGGAAGCAAAATCCAGTGCTCAACACCGACACTTATTGAGAATAATTGTTTGGTATCTGATGCAAAAGAAAAAGCTGCATTATTTAATGATTATTTTGTCACTCAATCTAGAGTTAATGACACAGATGCTACTTTACCTAATCTAGAGGTTTTTCAAAGTTACATAACATTATCAAATATCTCAACTTCAGAGTACGAAGTTAAAAAATTGTTGCAAAATGTTGATACTTCGAAAGCTTGTGGTGCCGATGGTGTTGGAAATGCATTGCTTAAGGCAAGCGCTAATAATATTGCATGTTCTTTTTCTCGATTTATTAATCAATCACTTTCTGTGGGTGTTTTCCCTTTGAAGTGGAAATTGGCAAATGTTGTACCTATTTTTAAAAAAGACGATCGTCAATCAAAAGAGAACTATCGTCCTATTTCATTGCTGCCATCATTATCTAAAATTTGTGAAAAAATTGTTTTCGTCAGACTTTATAATTTTTTACTCGAAATAAATTTTCTAAACCCGTTTCAGTCTGGATTTCGTCCTGGTGATTCTACTGTTAATCAACTTATTTTCATAGTTCATAAAATTCATGAGGCTTTAGAGCTTGGTAAAGAAGTGAGAATGGTTTTCCTGGATATTAGTAAAGCTTTTGATAAGGTCTGGCACAAAGGACTCCTCTTCAAGCTTGAGCGCTTAGGAGTGAGAGATCCTCTTCTCAAATGGATTAAAAGTTACTTAACGGAGAGAAAACAGTGTGTCTTAATAGACGGTCAGTCATCTGACTGGAAAGAAATCGATTCGGGTGTCCCTCAGGGCTCTGTTTTGGGTCCTTTGTTGTTTTTGATTTATATTAACGACATAACTCGCGACCTCCGAAGTAATAATTTTTTATATGCTGACGATACTTCTCTTTTGGAAATAGTAGATGATCCCTGTCTTACAGCTGATCGATTAAACCATGATCTCGAATGCATTAAAGCATGGACCAAAGATTGGCTTGTTACTATCAATCCAGACAAGACCAAATCAATGATATTCTCTGTCAAACGAATTAGGCCAAATCATCCTCCCCTATTTTTTAATAATAATGAAATTCAAGAAGTTTTTAATCATAAACACCTAGGAGTTACACTTTCATCCAATTTAACTTGGACAGCGCATATTATTAATATACACGAGAAAGCTTCCAAAAGGGTGAATCTTCTTAAAGGTTTAAAGTTTAAGTTAAATCGGAAAACCTTGTCAAACTTGTACAAATGTCTTATTAGACCATTGTTAGAATATGCCGATGTATTATGGGATGGGTGTTCTGACAATGAAAGTGATTTAATTGAGCATGTACAATATCAGTCAGCCATGGTGGTCACGGGTGCTATGAGGGGTACTAGTAGGTCAAGAGTATTGGAAGATCTGGCTTGGGAAGATATGAAAACTAGACGCCAGGTTCACAAACTTATTTTATATTTTAAAATAGTAAATAATCATGTTCCAGAATACTTGTCAAAATTATTGCCCCAGACGGTTGAACAAAGGTCCGGTTTATCATTAAGGCAGTCATCTAATATTTCTTTGTTTTTTGCTAGAACTGAAAGATTTAAAAAATCCTTTTTTCCTTCGGCTACTATGTTATGGAATTCGGTTGAGTACTCAGTTCGTAGCTTGCCATCTATTAATTTATTCAAAAAAGCTATTCTTAAATTTTTCGATATTTCATGTGACCGCAATCATAGCTATTTTGATCATTCCATTGATAGATATACTTCAGTATTGCATGCACGTTTGCGTTTAAACTGTTGTGCGTTGAACTACTATCTATTTAGAATAAATCGTACTTTAACACCTGACTGTATTTGTGGTGCTGGCTGTGAAACAGTAGCTCATTACCTGTTAAAATGCCCACGGTATGCTGCTCTAAGATCAATCTTACTCTCGGCTGCTGCACAAGTTTATGGTGATAGCTGGTGTCATTTATCTGACATGAAAAAAGTGAATATACTTATGTTTGGTTCATCTAACTTAGAACTCAAAGACAATACTGTGATATTTGAGTATGTTCAACAATATATTAGGGAATCTAAACGTTTTCTTTAATTTCGTCAAAGCTATCATCTTTCGTTGTTTAATTAATTTATTATGTGTGTTTCTATATATCTGTCTTGAACTTTGTAAAATCAATGTAAATGTAACTATATGTCTGTCTAGTCTAATGTAATAGTAAATGTAACGTAAGCCCCTAGATGAGCCTAGTGCTCTTGGGTAAACGTTAATAATATATATGTTTAAATAAAGCCTCGTTACGTCGGCACATCATGTGACCAAAAGGGGGCCGGGCGAGTATGTAATAAGAGGTTGGCCGCGCATTGGTGGTATTAGCCAACGCAAAATCGACTTCTCGACGACGAAAAAAAATGAAAAACCAGGAAAACAGATATTTAGCGATTTAAGACACTTGACCTTCAGGCTAACACCTCACCATCCAAACGGGTAAGTATGGTGAACGAAGGTGTTAACTCGGTATAAAACTAAAACTACATAGTTATAGTAGAAAGCGTGTCTAAATATCTCGCCGTAATAGTCGCCGTAGAACGAAAATATGTGGTGTTGGAAATTTTCAAATATTTAGTTCCAAAAAGCTGAAGCCTTGTTTATCAGTTTATTCCCCAGCTGTTTTCCAAGACCTGCAAGGATATAATAGTCAGCTCGCTCGAACTAATATGCCAACATCAGGCAGAAATTGAAGACAATAGCCGCTGTGTTAGACGCAGTTGAAGCGAATTCAGAGCGCCGAATGTTGTCTCTTTAGACTCCTGGAAAAAGCCATCGAGCTATGGTTCCGCGAATGAGGCATAGTTTACGCTTAGAATTCCATCATGTGGATATTTCGACAAAAACATACCGATTTTTCTCCGTATTTATTCAAATTTATACAAAACTGCAAATAACGAAATTTGCGTATTTACATACCTGTCAGTGCTCTCACAATCAAATTTTCGAATTCCTTAGAAAAAGCTCGAAAATTCCTCAGACTTCCTTAAAATTCCTTAAATTGGTAAAATTACTACAAGGCCTGATCACAGAGTTGCAAAAAGTGTTTTTTTCACGTGATTTACCTGAATTTTTCGAACTGAACGTTCTTTAAAACCGTATTTTTTGAAAATTTGAAGTTTCTAGACCGTCGGAAATGGCATTTTTAGAGTCTTTCCTACCTAATATTTTAGTATTGCCTAACAATGAAGATAAGTACTGCTACTTTCAGTTTATAATGGGAAATTGAGAAAATTTTGGAAATTTGGAGTCTCCAGATCGTCAGAAAGGGTATTTCGCAATTGTCTCCCTGCCACAACACGTCTCAACGTCTTTAGTTTGTTTGATTGTTAACTCCAATTCAGATTAGAGAGTTCACTTTTTTATGCCCTGAGAATTACCTGAATTTACCTGAAAATCTACAGGATATCTACCTGAAATTGTTCATGAGCAATATTAGGGCTCGCTAGGGCCCTGTGAACTTAGAAAATCTGTAGATTTCAGAAGAAACAGCATACAGCTGACATTTAACTTTTGAGAATTTTAATGGAAAGACAACCATATGTACATTTACGACATAGAGAACATACGAATATATGTAATTATGTGCATATAATGTTGCTACTTTCAAGCTTAATTAAATCTCATGTGCGTGGCGTGGTTATTCTCCGTCAAACGTTTTTTGTCCAGGATAAAATGTTTCGGAAATTCCTTAAAAAAATCCTCAAAAACCTAAATTCCTTAAAAAAATCCTTAAAACTCTCCAAAATTCCTATTTTTAAGGATAATTCCTTAAAAGTGAGAGCACTGATACCTGTAGCGGACAACCGGAAATATGCTACGACCGGAAATAATTTTAATTGGCTGATATTCTGGGGGTGGAAAGCCCGTAGAGGCGAATTGTGTCAGGCTCTCTTCAATACCGAGAGCCTGATACTCAGGTTACTTCAACACTAAGTCTTTGTCTGAATCTATCTAAATAAATGTGTGTCGAATTACGTGTCACTTCTTTGCCAGGTCTTCGCAATCTAGTCTTACTGATACACTCAATACAAACACAATACAGGTTAGCTCTTATACAGTTTAGCTACACTACAGATCATTAGGTTAGCTTCAACACAGGTTAGCATATCTCCCTCCTTTAACACTTTTAGTCCTTGTCTCAATGTATCTAAATAAATGTGCGTCAAATTACGTGTCAATCAGGTTAATGTCATTAGTCATGCATTACTTTAATCAGTTAATAATTATCTCGTAAAATATATAAAGTTTTGTCAGCGACACACCCTCCGCCTCCATAAGGACTATGTTCTTATCAATTCTTTTCTTCTGCGTCTTCTACCGGCTGAATTACTGCGATCTTTCGTCACGGGTCTCGAATACTCTCCTCACGCCGTTTTTATCTTGATGTTTCTAACTTTACCGTCTTGTCCTGGATACACTTCAGCTCAACTCTTTTTCTTGGAATTTTCGTTTCTTGAAATGGACCTTGTGGTACTTGTGGAGATGCCCTCAGGGATGCCGGAAGTTGCTGGGGGCAAGGGGTGCAATTGGTTAACAAGAGGGCATATTCCAAAAATTTTTTGGTCAGTGTATCATTTTAGGGGTAAAAAAATTTTCCGGACATACCACAATTTTTCCTAAATACGAAAAAAATTTTCCGGACATACCAAAAATTTTTCCGGAAAATGTTATTTTTTCCGGAAATTAAAACATTTTTCCGGAAATAACATAGATTGAATTTTTCAAAAATGCCCTTTCCGCAAAAAAATGCAATTTTTAATGAAAATTTTTCACGCAAAAAGGGCACTTTGTGCACCCGTTGCACCCGTATTCTGCACCCGTAGTGCACCCGTAAAGTTGTGAAGACAAAAGGCAACGGGTGCAACTGCACCCGCTGCACCCGTGGTTCCGGCATCCCTGGATGCCCTGTCCAATAGCATATTATTCGGACATAGATAGAAACCATCGTCTGGATCATTCGGTGGTCTTCCGATTGGTCTTTGGTTGACAAGGTTTGCCACCTCTACCAAGCAAGTATACAGTTCGAAAGGAGTAAGTACATGCTTACCAACTGCTTTCTTTAGGGCCAATTTGCAGCTTTTAACTAACGCCTCTGCACATCCGTTCTGATGTGGTGCCGCCGGGATTATAAACCTCCACTGTACTCCTCGTACTGCACAGTAGTCCTTCAGTACCTTCTTGTCAACTCCTTATACCAAGTTGTACCAACTTGTATAAAGTTTGTACTAACTTTGTAACTAAGTTACAAAAAATATATTGTAACTTTTGTAACTGTAACTAGTTACACTTTGGCGTCTGTAACTTGTATCGGTAACTAGTTATGTTTTTGGTAATGTAACTATAACTGTAACTAGTTACAAATAAACTGTAACTGTTACAGCACTGGCATCAAGACAGACGAACCACCTCGTGTTGGAAAGACCGGAGATCCAGTAGCTGAGAAAACAAAGTTCGGATGGATTATCATCGCCCAAGGGAAAGAGATCGACTAAACCGCCATGCTCCTAACCCAAACCAACCAAACTGACTACGAACAGCTTTGTCGGTTGGACGTTCTTGGAGTCGCGGATCGACCAGAGCTGATGACCAAACAGACGTCTACACAGAATCCCGTGAACAACTCGTGAGGAGTGATCAGGGTTGTTACGAGA